TTGGTCTTTTTGAGACAGGGTCTCCCTGTAGCCCCAGCTGTCCTGGAACTCACTATGTAGACCAGGCTGGCCTTGAACTCACAGAGATCTGCCTGCCTCTGCCTCCCGGGTGCTGGGATTAAAAGCGTGTACCACTACGCTCGGCCTCTTTTTTAAAAAAATATTTTATTTTATTTTATGTGTATGAGTGTATTGCCTGCATGTAGGTAAGTGCACCCGAGTCATGCAATGCCGGCGGAGGACAAAAGTGGCCATCGGATCCCCTGGAACTGGAGTTAGGGACAGTTGTTAGCTGCCATGTGGGTGCTGGGATTTGAACCTGGGTCTTCTGTAAGAACAACCAGTGTTCTTAACCTCTGAGCCATCTCTCTCCAGCCCTCATGGTGATCTCTTAAAACAGAAATCATATTAGCCATTCTTCTGGTAGGAATTCTTTATAAATATTGTTTTGGGGGCTGGAGAGATGGCTCAGCAGTTAAGAGCACTGGCTGCTCTTACAGAGGATCCAGGTTTGATTCCCAGCACCCACATGGCAGTTAGGAACCGTCCTTAACTCCAGTTCCAGGGGATCCAACACCCTCTTTTGGCCTCCTTGGGCACTGCACAACACAGGTGCACTTACATACATGCAGGCAAAACACTCATACACATAAAATAAAAATAAAGTTTTTAAAAAAATACTGGTTTTTTTTTTGTCATTTTTTAAGGTGCTAGGGATTAAACCTAGGACCTTGTACATGCAAGTGCTCTACCACTGAGATGGATCTCCAGCCCACTAACTGGCTTGATACCTGTTATGTGAATACAGTTCCTTTCCTAGGACATGTTTTCTGTTTTTTAAATTAACTTTTATTATTTTTATATATGTACCTGTGTGTGTGTGCAGATGCCTGTTGAGGCCAGAAGAGGGTGTCAGATTCCCTGGCACTAGGTTACAGTCAGTTATAAACTGTCAGACATGAGTGCTGGGAACCCAACTCAGATCTTCTTCAAGGGCAGTGCTCTTAACCGTTGCGCTATCTCTCCAGCCCTAGTATATGCTTTCTATATGCCTGACCCCTATGTGAAAAAGTCTCTCTAGGTTCTTCAACTGTGATATGCTTAGGTGTACCTCTCGATATGTTTTCACTACTCCAGGGATGTCATGAAAAATCATTGCAGTTCCTGGTCTCCGGGCCACTCCTACTCCAGTGACAGTGTCTATCTGTACAATACTGTTAGTAGAAATCATCCATCTTCCAGGTTCACCTAGGAAAAGACAGGGGAAAGCACTTGGCTGCACCTTCTGATATAAATTACTTAGTTCAAATTACCAATCAGTAAGCCACTCAAAGCCACTCTGTTTTCAAGAATGCAGATGTTTCTTCCAGGAAGAACATTCAGCACCAGGGGTAACTTTTCTGAATGTCAGTTTCCTCTTCCTAGATCATGCCAGCAAAATAGAACTAAATGTACTTACGGACCTCAAAATCATAAGAGCTACTTAGCTGAAGATTGTAGCTGTTCTTAGGAAAGAGGAGAACTGTATATAGGGATTACTTTCTAATTAATTTGTTTAGGCTGTGCTAAGTATGAATATGCTTTGAGCTACTGAGTATTGCCAACAGGAAAAGCTGTTGCCAAAAGTGGCAGGATGCAGGATTAGTTTATTTTGATTTAAATCACACAGTGACAAAGGAATGCAAAAGATTAAGTTAGATGCTTTTTTTTTGGGTCTTTTTGAGACAGGGTCTCCCTGTAGCCCCAGCTGTCCTGGAACTCACTATGTACACCAGGCTGGCCTTGAACTCACAGAGATCCGCCTGCCTCTGCTTCCCAAGTGCTGGGATTAAAGGCATGCGCCACCATGTCCAGCTGTATTTCATCTTTTATTTTTTAAATCAAATTTTTTCAATTTATTTTTATTTTATGTATGAGTGCCTCTATTTATTTATTATTTATTTATTTTTTTAGACTTTATGTGTATGAGTGTTATGCCTGCATGTGTGTAAGTGCACCAGTGTCATGCAGTGCCTGTGGAGGACAGAAGAGGGCATCAGATCTCCTGGAACTGGAGTTATAGATGGTTGTTAGCCACCATGTGGGTGCTGGGATTTGAACCCCTGTCTTCTGCAACAGCAGTCAGTGCTCTTAACTTCTGAGTCATCTCTTCAGTCCCATGTATATGAGTATCTTGACTGCATATATGTAAGTGCACATTTGCATGCAATCAATGCCCATGGAGGCCAGAAGAGGGTGTTGGGTCCCCAGGGACTGGAGTTACAGATGGTTGTTAACCACTATGTGAGTGCTGGGAACCAAACCTGGGTCCTCTGAAAAAGTAGCCAGTGCTCTTAACTGTGATCTATTTCTCCAGTCCCAGGTTTTATTATTCTTTTTTTTTTTTGTCTTTGTGAGACAGGGTCTCCCTGTAGCTCCAGCTCTCCTGGAACTCACTATGTAGACCAGGCTGCCTTGAACTCACAAGAGATCTGCCTGCCTCTGCCTCCCAAGTGCTGGGATTAAAGGCGTGCACCACCACACCTGGTGGTTTTATTACTCTTAATTTAGCATTTACCCTCCTTCAAAAGCTGGGAATGAAGAGGACACAGTAACTGCCCCCCATTACCTACATTATAATATAAACTTGTGTTCAGTAGGCAGTTGGTAAGTGTTACTACTAGTCATTGGCCATTAAGAGAAACAGTCATTAGACCAGGAATTATCAGCTAACATGACAAATAAGTACTCATCAAAGTATGGAAGTATACACCTTTAATCCCAGTACTTGGGAGGCAGAGGCAGGCAGATCCCTGTGAGTCTGAGGCCAGCTTCATCTACATAGCAAGTTTCAGACCATCCAGGGTTACATGGTGAGATGCTGTCTCTGAAAAAAAAAAGTCGCACTTGGGAGGCAGAGGCAGGCAGATCTCTGTGAGTTCAAGGCAGCCTGGTCTACATAGTGAGTTCCAGGACAGCTGGGGCTACAGAGAGACCCTGCTTCAAAAAGACAAAAACAAAACAACAACAAAAACGTCATGGGGCTACAGAGACAGCTTAGCAGTTAAGAGCACTGGCTGCTGTTGTAGAGGACCCGGGTTCAACTCCCAGCAGACACATGGTGGCTAACAATTGTCCATAACTCCAGTTCCAGGGGAATCCAACTCTCTCTTCTGGCCTCTGTGGGTATTGCATGACACGGGTGCATTTACATACATGCAGGCAATATACTCATACACATAAAATAAAAATATATTTAAAAAATCACTAAAAAGTATTTTTTTGTGTCAATGAGATGGTTCAGCAGGCACCTGCTGCTAAGCCTGAGGACTTGAGTTCTATCCTCAGGACCCACATGGTAGAAGGAGAGAACCGATTGCCCCTGACCGCCACATGTGCACCATGTACACTGGGGCACATGCATGGAACATACACATATTTGAGACACAGTCTCACTATGTGTCCCTGGCTATACAGGGAGGCTGGCCTTGATCTAACAGAGATCCGCTTGCCTCTGCCTGCTGAGTGCAGGATTAAAGGCCTGCATCACCATGCCCGGCTCCAGATCAGTTTCACGTCCACAGAACTTTCAGTTGTGTGGGTAATGGGAAGAATACACACCATGCTGGTTGACAAGGGGAGTGCTGAAGCAGATGACATCTCCAACAAAGGTCAGCTTGGTATCTGGCTCGATGGCATACTCTACAGCAACAGGGATATAATCTGCCATGCCTGGATGTCTTCGGTCCCAAAGCCCCACAAGTGTTACCCCTCTGTTCACAGCTTGGGCCATGTATGTATAGTTTCTGTTCCCTGGTCCGATAAGCAGCAAGTCATCTCTGAAAGTAGACACAAAAGGCCAAGGCATCTGAAAACAATGACTGAGAATGTAAGTCAATGGTGGAATGCTGAGCTAGCATGTAGAGGGCACTGGCTTCCATCCCCAGCACTGGAAAGCAGTGTCTGTAACAGTCTCTGTAGCCAGGTGTGATGGCATGTTCTTATACTCCCAAGAACTAAGGAGGCTGAGTTCAAAGCTAGTTTGGGCTACATAGTGAGTACCAGGCTAGCCAGGGCTAGAAAGCAAGACCTGTCACAAACACAATTTCTGTAAAGAGAAATTTCTGTTAAAATAGGAAACAGGTTGGAAAGACCCCATCAAAACTTTAAAAAAATTTTTTAATATTATTTTTATTTTATGTGTGAGTGTATTGCCTGCATGTGTATAAATGCACTGTCATGCAATGCTCATGGAGGTCAAAAGAGGGTGTTGGGCAGGGTGTGGTGGCACACACCTTTAATCCCAGCATTTAGGATGCAGAGGCAGGCAGATTGTAAGTTCAAGGTCAGCATGGTCTATATAGTAAGTTCCAGGCCAGTTGGGGCCTACAGGGTAATCCTGTCTCAAAAATACTTTGAAAAAAAAAGGGTGTCAGATTCCCCTGGAACTGGACTTAGGGATGCTTGTTAGCTGTCATGTGGGAATCAAACATGAATCCTCTGCAAGAGCAGTTAGTGCTCTTAACTGCTGAGCCATCTCTCCAGCCCCAAAACTTAAAAATTTTAAATTATATTATTTATGGGAGGGGGGTGGGTACATGCATACTGTGGCACACATGTGGCCATCAGAGGACAACTTTTGAGAATTAAAACTCTCTTTCCGGGGCTGGAGAGTCGGCTCAGCAGTTAGGAGCATTGACTGCTCTTGTAGAGGACCCGGGTTCATTTCCTAGCATCCACATGGCAGCTACGAACCGTCCTTAACTCCAGTTCCAGGGGAATCTGAAGCCCTCTCTGACCTCCATGGCATTGCACGACACGGGTGCACTCACGTGCATGCAGGCAGTACACTCATACACATAAGATAAAAATAATAAATAAAATATTTTAAAACTCTCTTTCCACTAAGTGGTACCTGGAGCTCTAACTCAGGTCATCAGGCTTGGCAGCCCCTTCCTTTACTCACTGACCAGTTTGGTCTTTGAGAGAGGGTCTCATGTAACCCAGGCTCTCCTTGACATTGTTATGTAGTTGAGGATGACCTCTAGCTTCTGATCTTCCTGGCTTCACTTCCCAAGTACCAGGATTTACGAGCACGAGCCACCACATATCCAGTTCTTTTTGTTGCTGTTTTTGTTTTCTTTCTTTTTAAATTTTTGAAAAATTTACTTATTTTTTTTATTACTTATTTTGTGCATGTGTGCCACATGCATGCCATGCCCATAGAGGCCAGAAGAGTATGTCAGATCCCCATGTGGGTGCTAGGAACCGATCTTGGGTCCTCTGCAAGAGCAGCCAGTGCTTTTAATCACTCAGACATCTCTCCAGCCCCCATTTTGTTTTCTTAAGTGTTTCATTATGTAGTGTGGTCTGGCCTCAAATCTTCATTTCTCCTGTCTCAGCCTCCTGAGTGCTGGGATTATAGGCATGTACCCTAATACCGAGTTCTTTCCAATAAAGCTTTTTTTGTGTGATGTTTGACTTATTTATTTTTATTTTATGTGTGTTTTGTCTGCATATATGTAAGTGTATCCATGTTGTACAATGCCTGTGGAGGCCAGAAGATGGTGTGGGATCCCCGGGAACTGGAGTTAACAGACAGTTGTTGGCTGCCATGTGGTGCTAGAAACCAAATTCAGGTCCTCTACAAGAGTGGCCAGTGCTCTTAACTCCTGAGCCATCTCTCAGCCCCTTGTTTTGTTTTTTTGAGACAGGGTCCCATGTAGTACAGGCTAGCTTCAAATTCTTATGTAGTTGAGGATGTCCTTGAACACCTGATCTTGCTTCCTCTCAAGTGTTGTGCTGGGTTTACAGGAGTGTTACCACACTTGGCTCCAGTAAGACTGTTTTTTTTTTTTTTTTTTTGGTCTTTTTGAGACAGGGTCTCCCTGTAGCCCCAGATGTCCTGGAATTCACTATGTAGACCAGGCTGGCCTTGAACTCACAGAGATCCGCCTGCCTCTGCCTCCTGAGTGCTGGGATTAAAGGCATGTACCACCATGCCTGGCCTGTTTTTTATTTTTTAATTAAAAATATTTATTTATTTATTTTTATGTGTATGAGTGTTTTGTCTGCATGTATGTAACTGCACCCATGTTGTGCAAAGCCTCTGGAGGCCAGAGGAGGTTGTCAGATACCTTGGAACTGGAGTTAACAGACGGTTGTTAGCTACCATGTTAGTGCTGGGAATCAAATTCAGATCCTCTGCAAGAGTTGCTAGTGCTCTTAACCACTGAGCCATAGTTTCAGCTCCTATTTTATTTTTTGAAGGCAGAATGATAATGTCAGATGTGGTGGTACAAGCCTTAGATCCCAGCACTGGGAAGGCAGAGGCAAGCAGATCTCTGTGAGTTGGAGGCTAGCCTGGTCTATGAAGTGAGTTCCAGGCCAGCCAGGGCAAAGATTTTTTTTTTTTTGAGAGTCTATCAAAAAAAAGTGAGTGAAACTAGATTTGTTTATTTTAAAATTTTATTTATTATTTTCATTTTATGTGTATGAGTGTATTTCCTGCATATATGTAAGTGCACCTGGGTCATACAATGCCTGCAGAGATCAGAAGAGGGTATTGGATCCCCTGGAACTGGCGTTACAGATAGTTGTTAGCCACTATGTGGGTGCTGGGAATTGGAACCCAGGTCCTCTGCCAGAGCAGTCAGTGCTCTTAACTGCTGAGCCCTCTCTCCAGCCCCCTATTTATTTATTTGTTTGTTTGTTTGTCTTTTTGAGACAGGGTCTCCCTGTAGCCCCAGCTAGCCTGGAACTCACTATGTAGACCAGGCTGGTCTCGAACTCACAAAGATCTGACTGCCTCCATCTCCAGAGTACTGGGATTAAAGGTGTGCACACCTAGGGAAACTAGATTTATTAAAGAAAAGTAAGAACTCCTGAGAGAGTGTGGGGTTCCCAAGGTGGAATGCCCCAGTAAAGCTTTTTGATGACACTCTAGTTAGCTCCCTGCAGGTCTTCCTGTGAATCAAGAGCTGGGAGATTCTGGGGGCTGGAGAGATGGCTCAGGGGTTAAGAGCACTGGCTGTTCTTGCAGAGGACCTGGGTTCGATTCCTAGAACCCACATGGTGGCTAACAACGGTTCATAACTCCAGTTCCAAGGGAATCCAACGCCCTCTTCTGACATCCATGGGCATTGTACAACACAAGTGCAGTTACGTACATGCAGGCAATACATTCATATATGTGAAATAAAAATAATAAATGAGGGACTGGAGCGATGGCTCAGCGGTTAAGAACACTAACTGTTCTTGCAGAAGACCCAGGTTCAAATCCCAGCAGCCACATGGCAGCTAACAACTGTCTGTAACTCCAGTTCCAGGGGATCAGACAGACTCTTCTGTCCTCCTCGGGCATTTCACGACACGGGTGCACCTACCTACATGCAGGCATAACACTCATACACATAAAAATAATAAAAAATATTTTAAAAAAATAAATGAATTTTTTTAAAAAAAGAGTTGGAACTGGGCGTGGTGGCACACACCTTTAGTACTAGCACTTGAGAGGCAGAGGCAGGCAGATCTCTGTGAGTGTAAGGCCAACCTGGTCTACATAGCGAGTTCTAAGCCAGCTGGGACTACAGGGAGACCCTGTTTCAAAAAGATTAAAAAAAAAAAGAAAAGCAAAAAGAGTTGGGGTTGGGAAATTCAAAACCCATTAAAAAATTCATTTGCAATATGTTTTTAAGATTTGTGTGTGTGTGTGTGTGTGTGTGCGTGCGCACGCATGTGCGCATACATGTACATGAGTGTGTGGGTGTCCCATAGAGGCCAGAAGAACAGATGTTTGTGAGGCATCTGATGTGGGTGCTGGAACTGAACTCTGGTCCTCTGTAAGAGCTGCAAAATCACTGAGCCATCTCTCCAGTCCCTGTTTTTTTTTTTTTTTTTTTTTTTTTTTTGAGTCTCAGTCTATAGTCTAGAACTCACTATGTAGTTAGGGCTGGCCTTCATTTCATGGCTAGCCTCCTATTTCAGTATTCCAATTATTGGGATTATAGGCGTGAGGCACTAAGCCCAGCTGGCAATACCATTCTTTATCTAGGTCTGGCCTGTGTGTGTGTGTGTGTGTGTGTGTGTGTGTGTGTGTGTATAAGGATCAAACAAAGTGCCTTGTGCATGCTAGGAGTGCTCTACCTCTGACCTATATCCCTAGTACCCCTCCATCCCCTAAGATAGGGTCACACTCTGTAGCCTACATTGGCTTGGAGCTTGATGCTGTGCATGTAGCCCAGGATGGCCTTGAATCTGAGACTGTCCAGCCTAGCATTCCTTACCACTGGGTTTATAGGCATGCAAGACTGCACCTGACTCATTATTATTTTTTTTAATTTTAAGAAAAAAAATAAAGATCTGATTCCAGGTTCATAAGGGAAGAGGAATTTTGAAGTGGCTGTACAACACTGGCTTAACCTGTAAGATTGCTACCACAGGATCAACATTCCTTTGACTTTCATACCTGTTCAGAGCCATATAAAGTTGAGTATTATGGGTGTGGAATTTCTCGCCAATGTTATTGTAAAACTGAACAGTAAAGGTGAGAGACATGCCCAAGGGAAAGGCTGATAGGGTCCGTCCTTGGGCTGTGTATAGCTTGGGGTGGCTGCTCATTCGAAGGTATGTCACTGGTGCTACCTGTGGGAGACAGAACCTGCTAGCACAGACAATGCAGCGACAGTGACAGTCTAAATATTTATAATCAAGGGGAAAGACAGAGTGGCTTCCTCTTTAAAGTGTTTCTGTGTATGTGTCCCTCTAAGGGTGTGGGTGTTGGGGGCATGTGTGTGGCGATAGAGGACGGCCTTCCCGTGTAGGTCCTTCCTTTCCATCTTGTTTGAGACAAAGTCTTAAAGGCGTGCGCCACCACGCCTGGCTGTTATGCACACCTTTGATCTCAGCACTTGGGAGGCAGAGACTGGTGGATCTCTGCGAGTTCAAGGCTAGCCTGGTCTACATAGCTGGTTCCAGGCCAGCTGGAGCCACAGGGAGATCCTGTCTCAAAAAGATTAAAAAAGAAAAAAAAAGAAATTTAAAAAATTATCTTATTATTTTTTATTTTATATGTATGAGTGTATTGCCTGCATGTATGTAAGTGCACCTGTGTCGAGCAGTGCCCTCGGAAGTCAGAAGAGGGTGTCAGATCCCCTGGAACTGGAGTTATAGACAGTTGTTATCCACCATGCGGGTGCTGTGAATTGAACCTAGGTTCTCTGCAAGAGCAGTCAGTGCGCTTAACTGCTGAGCCATCTCTCCAGCCCTGGTCTTAGAATTTCTTATTAGCTAAGTAAGGATAATGATTGGACCTCATACGGGTTTTATGACAGTTAAAAGAGATAACATATATACAGCAGAACCAACACTGCGGTATAGTAGATGTTCAGTGCCTGGTACATTTCTTTTTGTGTTAGGCCTCTACATCTGATCTTAGCCAAAAGACCAAGAAGCAATATGGGGCCCTTTTTCACTTTAAAATGTTTAATTCTATATCAAAGCCAGACTTTATTTTTTTGAGAGAGTCTTGTTCTTTGGCCCAGGCTGTCCTTGAATTTGTAGTGACTCTCCTGCCTTAGCCTCCTGAGTGCTGAATTGCAGTGTGAACAACTGTGCCCAGCTCCAAAAGCCAGAGTTTTGTTTGTTTTGAGAAAGAGTTTCACTATGTAGCCCTGACTGGCCTGGAACTCTGTGTAGATCAGGCTGGCCTCAAACTCAGAGAGGTCTTCCTGCCTCTGCATCCCCAGTGCTGGGATTAAGGGCACGCACCATCACACCCAGCTTCGAAGTCAGATTTTGGTAGTAGTTCTAAACTCTTTCCACACCAACCTTTCTGAAGCTGCTAGGAAGATGTACTAATTTGAAGCTAATATTTTTTGTAACAAGGGCTCTAAAGTCTATTTTAATTTTTCCTTCATGCCTCTGTCTCCCAAGTGCTGGGATTAAAGGTGTGCACCACCGCCCTTATCCTAATCTGATGGTCTGCAATCACATCAAGATCTGCTCTTAGAGGGCTATTTGCATTCCAGAAAAACTCATAATTCTTGATTCTTAAGGCCATGTTATTCTTTTTACTTAGTTATACTTATTTATTTACTTGTGGGGTTTTTGAGGTTCTGGGGGTCAACCCAGGGCCTTCACATGCTAGGTAAGCACTCTACTACTGAACTATATACCTTAGGCTCTATTAATTTATGTATTTAGTGTCTGAGCGCACCTGGACTCCAGTTATGGTTGTTTGGTTGACTCCAAAAGGTTCTGTAGAAATGACTTCCAACACAGCAGTACCTGCAATGGATCCAGATTTCAGGAGCCCTTCACCATCTTCTTCAATGACTGAGGAATTAGGAAAACACTTGAGCACACGGGAGCTCACAAAGGCCGCTCCTTCCCTAGGAAACAAACACAGGCAAGTGACCACTCCTGGGGGCCTTGTGTGATCAGGGAAAGGGATAAAGACTGCCCAGACTGAGATGGGTGGCCACTCCTGGTTTTGATCAGTTGAGGAAAGAGAATTGTCATGAGTCTGAGGTCAGCCTGGGCTACAGAATGATTTCCAGGCTAGCTTGGGCTACAGAGTGAGACCCTGTCTCAGAGGCTCCTGGGACTACTGTTGTTGAAGTCTGCACATAGAAAACTGCTTGCTGTTCTCTGTGTTGCATATGCCTCAGGGAAAGGCAGCCCCTTGGATAGGCTCTTCCCCTTCCTCTTCCCCTTCCCCTTCCCTCTCTCCCTCCCTCGCCTCCCTCCCTTCCTTTCTTTCTTCTCCTCCAACTCTTCCTTTCTCCTTTTCTTCCCTTTCTTTTCTTTCTGGTTATTTTTTTCGGTCTTTTTGAGACAGGGTCTTCCTATAGCCCCAGCTGTCCTGGAACTCACTATGTAGACCAGGCTGGCCTTGAACTCACAGAGATCCGCCTGTCTCTGCAGGTTGTCAAGTTGTTAGCTGCCATGTGGGTGCGCCATGTGGGTGCTGGGTCTTCTGCAAGAACAGCCAGTGTTCTTAAACGCTGAGCCATCTCTCCAGCCCCCATTTATTTATTTATTTATTTATTTATTTATTTATTTATTTATTTATTTAGAGACAGGGTCTCCCTGTGTAACCCTGGCTGGCCTGGAACTCACTGTGTAGACCAGGCTGGCCTGGAAGTCACAGAGATCTACCTGTCTCTGCCTCCTGAGTGCTGGGACTAAAGGCATGCGGGTTGAAGAGTTGAAGCTTCTCAAAGTCAGAGCCTGCCTTTCCTTCCCCTTCTTCCTTACCTGTTAGTATGTAATTTGAGCTGAGAATTCATAGGCATTAGAATTTGTTCAGGTTGGCAATCTGGATAGAAAAGTTGGAGTTTTTCAAACACCTACAATGAGAAAATAATGTTCTTCTCATTTTTGGAAAAGACATTCTGAGTTCTGATATTTATTTGCAAATGGATGGATTTCAGTACAATTCCAAAGGGATTGCATGTTAAATAAATGATAACTTCAAGCCAACAGTTTGCCTGATTTTTATGTTTTGGTCTTTTTGAGATAGGGTCTCCCTATAACCCTAGCTGGCCTAGAACTCACTATGTAGACCAGGCTGGCCTTGAACTCACAGAGATCCGCCTGTCTCTGCTTCCTGAGCATTAGGATTAAAGTCACATGCCACCAAACTGAGCTGAAATTTTATTTTATTTTACTTTATTTTGGTCTTTTTGAGACAGGGTCTCCCTGTAGCCGCAGCTGTCCTGGAAGTCACTATGTAGACCAGACTGGCCTTGATCTCACAGAGATCTGCCTGCCTCTGAGTGCTGGGATTAAAGGCATGTGCCATCTCACCCAGCTCACATCTGGCTTTTTTATTTGGGTTCTAGGATTCAAATAGAGGTCCTGAGGCTTGTGCAAGTGCTTTTACCCACTGAGCCATCTCATTGGTCCCAGTTCCCCGCCTCCTCCTCCTCCTCTCCTCCCTGTCCTTCCTCCCCCTCCTCTCTCTCTTTCCCCTCCCTCCCTCCTTCCCTTCCTTTCTTTCTCTCAAAGTGTGCCACCATGTCCAGTCAGTTTTTAATTTTTTAAAGATTTCTAATTATGTGTATGCCTGTGTGTATATATGTATGCATGTGCCTGGTGGTGCCCTTGGAGGTATTGAATCCCCTAGAGTTGGAGTTACAGACCCAACTGATGTGGGTTCTGGGAATTGAACTTGGGTCCTTTGGAAGAGCAGTAGGTGCTATTAACTGCTGAGCCATCTCTCTAACCCCTGAGCAGTTTTTTTTAGAATACTTTGAATAATGTACCCAAGAGTTTGTTTACAGCTACAGACTTGAGCTATGTCTAGCAATATAACTTTCTTTTTGGTTTACAGAAACATGATTTAAGTTTAGAGACTTACCAGGATCTGAACTTCATCAGATAGTTCCAGCAAATTCCCCTCAAACTGCCCAGAGGAACTGTTCTCACTTCGGACAGTGACCCTGATAGTGGTTCTTCCAGCTGCTTTTGTGTGGACAACCATGGCAAAGTTATTTTCAACTGGAAGCTGTAGAAAAGCCTAGACAGTAAAGGGATGGATTGAAAAAACATTCATGGGGCTCAATTGGTAGAGTACTTGCCTGTAATGCACAAAGCCCTGGGTTCTGTCCCCAGCACCATACATATGCACACAGGGTTGTGGTGGTGCTTGCCTGTAATCTTAGCACTCAAGTGGTATAGGCAAGAGAAAAAAAGGAGTTCAAGGTCATGTTCTGATACTTAGTGAGTTCAGGACTAGACTTGGATGTATGATACCTTGTTTCAAAAGAATAAAGAAATTCAGTGGGCATGCACATCTTTAGTCCCAGCACTTGGGAGGCAGAGGCAGAGGCAGAGGCAGGGGGAGCTCTTTGAGTTCGAGGCCAGCCTGATCTACATAGTGAGTTCCAGGACAGCTGGAGCTAAAGGGAGACCTTGTCTCAAAAAGACCAAAAAATAAAAATAAATTAAATTAAAAAATAAATTCATTCCACAAAGCTCAGTACGGTGGTGGCATGCTTGTAATCCTAGTACTTGGGGAGGCTGAGGCAGGGGGAGTGCCGCAAGAGCAAAGCCAGCCTGGGCTACATAGGTACAGGCCAGCTTGCCCTCTCCTCCCTTCCTCCCATCCATCCTCTTTCTTTTCTCCTCTTCCCCATCCTTCCTCTTCTCCTTTCCTTTCCTTATTTTGAAACAGGATCTCAAGTAGCTTAGGCTAGTCTTGACCCTGCTATGCTGCTGCTCCTAACCTTGAACTCCTGATCCCCCGACTCTATCTTCCTAATGCTGAGATTATAGGCATGAGCCACCACCCTGGGCTTTTTCTTTTCTTTTTAAAATTTTTGTTTTGGGGCTGAGTGTAGAGTAGCATGCACCTTTAATTCCAGCACTTGGGAAGCAGAAGCAGGCGGATCGCTGTGAGTTTGAGGCCAGCCTGGTCTACATAGCAAGTTCCAGGTCAACTGGGGCTATAGGGAGACCCTGTCTCAAAAGAACTTTTTTTTGTTTCTTCTTTTTCCTTCCTTCCTTTCTTTTTAAAAAATTGTTATTTGTTATTTTAATTTTATGTGTATGAGTGTATTAGCCTGCATGTATGTGAGTGCACCCGTGTTGTGCAATGCCTTGGAGGTCATATTCCCCTGGAACTGGAGTTAAGGACGGTTCTTAGCTGCCATGTGGGTGCTGGGAATCGAACCCAGGTCCTCTGCAAGAGCAGTCAGTGCTCTTAAGGGCTGAGCCATCTCCCCAGTCCCATAAATTTAACATCAAGACTCCTAAGGCAAGTGCACCTGTAATCCCTCTGATCTTCATGTACATGATGGTCGCCTGTGTGCTCCTCCCACACACTAAATAAATTAACATAATTATATGTATGATTTCTTTTTGAAACATAAAAGGAGTGAAAACAATATATTTAATTTTCAGACATGTATCACCCAGCTTTAAGGCAAAGGCCGGAAGAGCACCGTAAATTTGCTTTACATGATGAGTTCTAAGTCAGCCAGCACTACATGGTGAGACCCTAACTCAAAAATAAAGGGGGTGGGGCAAGCTGGAGAGATGGCTCAGTGGTTAGGAGTACATGCTGCTCTTGCAGAGGACCTGAATTTGGTTCCCAGCACCCACGTTGGGTGGCTCACAACTGCTTGTAACTTCAGCTCCAGGGGATCTGACCACTTTCAGCACTTGCAGTCACATGCACAGATACACGCACATTCACATAATTAAAAATTAAACAGCAACTCGAGGTGGCTCATGCCTTCAATTCCAGCACTCAGGAGGCAGAGGTAGGAGAATCTCTATGAGATCGAGGCTAGCCTGATCTACATAGCGAGTTCCAAGCCAGCTATGGCTACAGGGAGACCCTGACTCAAAAACAACAGGAGCTGGAGAGATGGCTCAGAGGTTACGAGCACTGGCTGCTCTTGAAGAGGACCCAGGTTAGATTCCCAACACCCACATGCTGGCTAACAGTCATCTGTAATTCAAGTTCCACAGAATCTGATGTCCTCTTCTGACCTCCATGTGCCCGCATTGCATGACACGGGTGCACTTACATACATCCAGGCAATATACTCAGACACATATAATAAAACAACAATAAATAAATAAATTAGAAAAAATCTTTAAAAATTTCCCAAAGCAGGCCAGGCGAGGTGGCACATGCCTTTAATCCCAGCACTCGGAGGCAGAGGCAGGCAGATCTCTGTGGGTTCAAGGCCAGCCCAGTCTACATAGTAAGTTCCAAGACAGCTGGGGCTACAGGGAGACCCTGTCACAAAAAGACGAAAAAAAAAAATTTCCCAAGGCAATATAATATACACATAAGGTCATACCTCGGAGTGCCTGGGTACCAGATCCAATACATCCCTTTTGCTCATGGACCAATGGAATGTGAGCATCGGGTTGGCATTGCTGAAGGAAAAAGGAGTCTGGGTACTAGTCATGCCCATGATATAAACTGGCATCTGAAAAGAAAAGGTGGTATTGTGCTACACATCCTGCCTACCTGACATTGTCAGGAGCGTGAACCCAGAACAGAGCCATCATACTAACCTCAGAGTTGGGCAGGGAGGCACATACCTGAAATCCCAGAATTTTGGAAGTGAGACAGAATTATCCTGAGTTTCAAGCCAGTCAGGGCTACACAGCAGAGCTACATAGGAAGACCCTCTGTCAAGAATATCACTACCACCACTATAAAAAAAGGACAGCCCATGCCAGGTGTGGTAGCGTACACCTTTATTCCCAGCACTTGGGAGGCAGAGGCAGGTGGATCTCTGTGAGTTCGAGGCCAGCCTGGTCTACAATAGTAAGTTCCAGGCTAGCTGGGGCTACAGGGAGACCCTGTCTCAAAAAGACACCCCCCAAAAGGACAGCAGGCCACACCCACACTTAGTTTGTATAACTGACCTCAGTAGCTGTGATGAGTCGAGTTGCAGCCACAAGGATCCGAATAGCTCTTAGCTGAACAACTTCAACCTGCACTTCATCCTGCTCAACGGGGTGGAGAGCAAGCTTAGGCTAAGAGGGAGTTTCTGTGGGTGGACAGGAGTGCTTATAACTAATTTGTTGTGCTATTTTTGGCATTCAACAACATCAAAAAAAAATCCATACCACATGTTTGGTTTGTTCTTTTTAAAAAACTTTAAGGATTAGAACAATGTCTTACAACAATGTCAGTACTCTGTGGGTTTTCCACTAAAAATCATGTTTTCCACACCAGATGAGGGGAGCTGCTGGCATCCTGGTTGCCCTCTGCCCATCACCCCCAAGATGGAAGAGATGGAAGACTAGAAGCAGACCGTAGCCAAGAATACCTGGGAAAACACAATGACTTTGCCAGTGTCTTCATTTACTGTCTGGATGGTGCCGTGGACTAAAGCTGTGCCAGCCACTTTCCCTGTAACTTGTCCCCTCCTGTTAACAACAGCCACGGTCTGATTGCTGATGGAGAAGTGAATGATAGACTGGGGCTGAGGGCCACCTTCAGACATTATCTGGAATTTAAACATAGCAGTGAAAGTCACGTCTCCTTCCGAACATTTTGTCTAAGCAACTTGACTTCTTCCCCTACTTCCTGAACAGCGCATACCACATCAACTCAATTGCATTCAGAAGACATGCAAGTGACCCTCAGGATTCCAAGAAAGTTTTAAACCACATGCATCGTGGATCAGAGAAGTTACTGATTTTCTTCTTTTTAAATATATATATGTGTTTTTGAGACAGGGTCTCCCTGTAGCTCCAGCTGTCCTAGAACTCACTATGTAGACCAGGCTGGCCTTGAACTCACAGAGATCCACCTGCCTCTCCCTCCCGAGTGCTGGGATCAAAGGCGTGCACCACCATGCCTGGCTCTTTTTAAAAAATTTTATTTGTTATTTTTATTTTATGTGTATGAGTGTATTACCTGCATGTGTGTAAGTGCACCTGTGTCATGCAGTGCCCTTAGAGGTCAGAAGAGGGTGTCAGATTCCTCTGGAACTGGAGTTACAGGCAGTTCTTAGCCACCATGTGGGTGCTGGGAATTGAACCCAGGTTCTCTGCAAGAGCACATAGTGCTCTTAACCTCTGAGTCATCTCTCCGGCCCCCAGCTTTTCTTCTTTATCAGATCCAGTTGTGCTTAAGGGTGTACACAAGAGGAGGAAGCAGGAAGTGTGTGTAAAGGGAAAGGGTAAATTGTGTTTTCTGCCTTTAAGATCACCTATATCATTTAACAGGGGATGGTGGCACACACCTCTAATCCTACGACTTGAGGCTGAGGCCAGAGGATTGTTAGGACTTCTGGCCAGCCTGGGCTACACAGCAGGACCTGTCTCAGAAAATGAAACTAAAACCACTGACAAAACAGAAAGAAAATCACCTGCATCATGTTAGTTGCAATCAGTGTCATTTTCTCTGGAGCAAGTTTGAATGGAGGAAACACCTTGAAAGGGAAAATCAAAGGAAAACAATGATTAATGTTAATGTTAGACTCAGTTTCACAAATGATTGTGATCTTATGCTAAGGAAAACTAATTATGAACAAAGAAGTTATAATTATATTATATAAAAT